GAACTCGCGCGTTCCGTGAACTTCGCGGAAATAATTGGAAGAGGCTTGGTAAACGGCCAACCCGGAGACGCCGTCACCTACCTCATCGCGAACCTCGCGAGTCAGTTCGTGCCCTCTGGTGAAGGGCCACGCACGCAAGCTACACGGCAGCTGTTCGAGTTTCCGAGGCGGCGCAACGAGACCGCCGACGCGTTTTTCTCGCGGTTCCTCACGTTGCGATTTCGAGCGACGCGCAACGGTGGAGCTGCAATGTCACGTGGAGGCCACAATTCGTACAGGACCAAAGGAATGCTTAATAGCCTCTAGCAAGGCCTTTCTACCTGCGCGCCCCCCTTCCGTGCCGCTGCGCGGAATCCCGGCTCCTCGCGCAAATTTGCGCTCTTCATCAGGATGGCACGCATTGATTTGAACATGTTGTATGGAGAATGAATGCCCAGCGTTCCACGGGCGCGCGTTTCTTGAATTGTCTTGCCTGATCCGGAGTTTCCTTGACATTTGTTGATATTTATGAGAAGATTCGAATTTCCGAGAAATTTAGCGCGGGAGACGTCAAGCTGAAAAGAAGCGTGCGCCAACAACAAAGATGCCGCGCAGTATTTTCTGGGCACACCTCACGTCTTGCGCGGCCCATGGGATTGTAGAGTCTCCAGTGCTATCGAAGTTTCTGTTAATTTGTTTGCGGAAGGGCACGACATTGCACGACTCGTCTTTGATATATCATGGAATCATGGGACTTCGGGAGTTTAATCAGATTCCGGATATTTTTGTTTCTAGCAACGCGTGGAGTTTTTGCACGCGTTGCTCGCAGCTTGGCTGGCATTTTGTATGTCCGTTCGTTTGCTTTTCCGGGGGCGCGCGAAATCTTTCCGCCACCGCGCGGCGAAATCGGCGTTTCGTTCAGGTTCGCCGCTGGTCGTTGCTAGAAGTGGCTAAACACTGCACGCGCCTCCAGCAGAACCTATGCATTACAGCTGGCTGTTCCTCCGAGCAGTCGGCGCCACGGCCAACCAATTCATGGCGCTGCCCCAGCCTTGTGGCAACATATGCCCCGCCACGAGATTGTTTTTTAGGGCGCAGCGATAACTGATCCGGGTGATCGCGCTCGCCCCCCCCCCCCCCCCATAACCTCACCATGTTGATTGGGCAACGTCCGGGGGGGGGCGCAGGGAACTCGCACGGACCGCTATGTTTTCAACGGCGCGGCGACGTGCGCAACAGCCTATTGGTGTTTGGATGCATGTTGGTGATAGGTTGGGGCTTGGAATGGCAGGGGGAGACGACCCAAACGACGAGGACGACGACGACGACAACGACGAGCATATAAACGAATTCGACGACGACGACGACGACGACGACGACCGACGTCGTCCATACGCATCAAGAGGTGCACGTGAGCATCGCGTACACAGGCACTGCGTCGTGCACAAGCAGAGAGGCGATTTGGTGCACGCATTTGGTGCTGCTGCGGCAGGATCTGTTGTGTATGCAGGCGTTGTGGCGCATGCAAACATAAGTGCACACAGGCCGCGCGGTGCACGCGGGCATCGTGATGCACCCAGTGACTATGGTGTAGACAGGTTTTGTGGTGCACGCAACTGTGGTTGCAACACCAGTTCTGGTTGACGCAGGCATCCGAGGCATGTTGGTGTGCAGACGAGCTGTGGTGCACGGCCATCGCGTGTACCACACCTTGAGGTGTACACAGGCGCTGCGGTGTACGCATCCGCTGTTGTATACACGATCGCTATGGTGCTAAGGTGTACACAGGCGTTGTGGCCCCCCAAAGACGGGACCGTCCCCTTCGCCAGAAAATCAAGACTCACAGTCAACATGCATATTGAGTTTGATACAGTCGGATCCCCTGCGATTTCGCAGACTTCGGTCCCGCCGGGGCCTTGGAAGTGTGGGGAGGCTTTCCTGGGCCGTCTTTGAATCCCCTAACGCCGTCTCGGGGCTCTCGCGGTTCGTCTTGGGGCCCTCTTGGTCGCGTGGTGGGTGTCTGAGGGCCGTTGTGGGGCCGTCTTGGGCTGTCGAGCGGCTTTATGATGCCGTTATGTTATGGGTCCCGCGGAAGGTCTTCTTTGACCGTCTTGGAAGCGTTCTGTACGTTGTCGCCTCGAGAGCACACAGGGTTGTGGCCCCGAGGGCGCGAACTTGTCTTATTTTACACGGGTTATGCCCTCGGGATTGCGAGGCGGCTCGCATTTTTCAAAGGGTTGTGGCCTCCAGAGGGGCCCCCCCCTCGCTCCCCCCTCCCGGGAACTCGGCTTTCCTCCCCCCTCGGCTCCATCCGGCTCCCTGCCCGCCCCAGCTCCATTCGCAGCCATCTCTCCTCCAGTCGGGCCCACGTCCAAGCCCAGCTCCCTGCAGGCCCATTTGCCGCCGAGCTCGCCTCTCAGGCCAGGCCCCTGGCCGACCGGGCCACAGTCCAGCCCTGTTGCTGTTGTTGTTGTTGTTGTTGTTGTTGCTGTTGTTGTTGTTGGTGTTGGTGTTAGTGTTGGTGTTGTTGTTGTTGTTGTTGGTGGTGTTGTTGTTGTTGTTGTTGTTGTTGTTGTTGTTGTTGTTGTTGTTGAATTCTCACTTCTGAAGAAGATTTATTGTTGATCACCCCCCACCAGTGCATATTGTTTTCCTCAATCAAAGAATGCCCATCGACGCTCGCACCTTGTTTTTTGACAGGGAAAGTCTTGATGCTCAAACTGGGCCCTTGGCTCCCGTGTTACAACAACAACGGCTCCCGCCTGAGCCTTCCTCACAAATTAGCCAGGACCCCCGCTCCCGCCCGAGAGTTCCTCGCATTTTACTAAGGGATCGCTTTCCCGGCGCTCTGGAGTCGCGCTCTCGCTGGAGACTTGCTTGCAATTTACTGAAGATTAGCGCCCTTGCATTGGAATTTCTTGCAATTTGCTCAAGCGTCGCGCTCCCGACACCCAGGCACCCAGGAATCGCGCCCGTTGTGGCCCCATGTGCATGCCCTTCGTGGCCCCGCTGTCGCCGTTTGTGGCCCCCTCACTATCCTACGTGGCCCAGTTGCTACCCTCAGTGGCTCAATCGTTGCCTTCTGTGGCCCCGCATTATCCCTTCGTGGCCCCCGTTCGTTCGCGCTCTTCGTGGCCCCATACGCATTCCCATCGTGTCCCCGCTGTCGCCTTTCGTGGCCTACTTCGTGTCCTTCGTGGCCCTGCTGTCGTTCTCTCTCGCTCTCGCTTTGGCTCGTCGCCGTCGTCGTTGACGTCGTCGTTGTGGTCGGTCCCCTGTCCGTCCCTCTTGGGGTCGGGTCGACGGTCCGCGGCCGCCCCGCCGATCAGCGCTGCCGCTGGCCAGGCCGACGGTCCGCGGCCGCCCCGCCGCTTGCCAGGGCCCGGCCTGCAGGGAAGAAAGGTATACCCCCCAAAAGGGGTACGACCGAAGACGAAGAGCGCGGGTATCGAGGGTTTGGGAAATACGCGTTGTTGGACATTCGAGCAGATAAGGGCGAGCAGTCTTAAAATGCTGTTTGTTGTTGTTGGTGTTGTTATTGTTATTGTTATTGCTGTTGTTGTGTTGTTGTGGTTGGTGGTGTTGGTGGTGTTGTTGTTGCTGCTGCTGTTGTTGGTGGTGTTGGTGGTGTTGTTGTTGCTGCTGCTGCAGTTGTTGTTGTTGTTGGTGTGGTTGTTGTTGTTGTTGTTGGTGTTGTTGTTGTTGGTGTTAGTGTTGGTGTTGTTGGTGTTAGTGTTGGTGTTGTTGGTGTTAGTGTTGGTGTTGTTGGTGTTGTTGTTGTTGTTGAACATTATTAATTCTAAAGAATAATTATTGTTGGGGCCCCTGGTGCGCGCCCCCCCCGCCGCGCCTAGGCCGCAGCCACGTTTTCATCATTTTCGTGAGGAAGTCTCACGCAAAACGGGTTGGTCCAGATCCGGTTGTTTTGTTGTCCCCCGTTTTCCCTTGCAAAAAATAAGCTAAAGTGGACATTTCTTGTTCTAACATATCCAAACTTCAAGAATCCCTTGCAAAAATAAGGTAAAGTGGACATTCGCGCGCGCAAGACGAAATCCTTCCAAAACCTTAGTTTTCGTAGCGATTTCAACATAAAAACATCAAAAACCGAATGGTTTTTCAAAAAAAATTGTCAAAATTTCATCCCGCGCGCTCTTGCGGATTCGTAGGGAACCCAACACTTTTTAAACATTTCTGTCAAACGGGCTTTTGCGAGCAACTTTTTCGAACTTCTGCAACAACGGTTGCGCACCTGCCAGGGCCATCATCCCTGTCAAATAATACCATGCGGGACACATTCGTTTTTTCTTCGCGCGCGCACGCCGTCGTCGTCGGCCGCGGGGCCCTGAATAGTAGCCACGGTCGTCCGCATGCCACGAAGTGAAGTGTCCGAACGTCATAGGGCGGGAAGCTGGGTGTGGGTGGTGGCGAAGAGTCGTTTGGAAATTTGGTAGAGCTTGAACCGGCCCCCCCACAAAGTGGGGGTATTGCCCGCCTCCTATGAAAACCCTGGCACTGGTGAGAACGGAGTGTCCCCACGTGCTAGTAATTGTTGTTGTTGTTGTTGTTGTTGTTGTTGTTGCTGCTGTTGTTGTTGTTTGGGTGTTAGGTGAACGTGAAACCGTGCACGCCTCTCAGGCCCGGCCACTGGCCTGCCCGGCTACAGGCCCGTTTGGCCCTTTTCCGAGGTCGAGTTCATGTTCCAGGCTGTTCTCCGCTTCTTGCTGTTTTTCAAAGCCGCGGCCCCGCGCAGCCCCGCGCCGGCCAGGCTCGGCCGCAGCTGGGCCCTCGGGCTCCCTCATCCCTTGTGGGTAACTCACAGGTGGGGTCCTGAGGGATGGGGACGAGGGTGGATCTACGTTGCTTGAGGCACGTCGCTCCACTGGCCCTAGCCCCCCGACTCCCCCGCGCCCGCGCTCGCCCCCGGCGCCTCGAAAGCATGCCCACGGAGCCGCCGAGGCGTGTCGGCGGCCCTCTGCGCCCCCGCGCTCGCCTCGCCCCCCGCGGCCCGCCGGCCCCGCCAGGGCTTCGTGGCCTGGCACGGCACGGCCGCCGACCGCGCCGTGCTGCTGGCCCTGCGCCTGCACGGCGGGGACGTCGGGCGACGAAATCTATACATAGCCACTGCTCTCTGGCCAGGCCCATCCTGAACCCAGGAGCTCTGTACACGCCCTCCCGGCCAAGCCAGGAGGGCGTGGCGTATAGACCGCTGCTGGGCTCAGGTTGGGCCTGGCCAGGGAGCAGTGGCTATGTATAGATTTCGTCGCCCTAGGACGGGGGCCCAGCCAACGTCGTGGACGGCGAGGGCAGGCTGCTGTCGGCGGTGGAGGCCTCCAGGAGAAGCCCAGAAAGCGCGCCGCGAAGTCCCAGGATGGTCCGGGAGGGCCCCCGCTGACTGCCAGAGGGTCCTTAAGATAGTCCAGAAGTGACCCGAGACGGCCCAAGAGCTTCCCAAAGCGAAGGCCGCGAGAGACCTCCAAGACTGCCCAGGGGAGGCCACAGCTGGCCCCAAGAGAGCTCCAAGACACGGCGGGGGCAGGCTGCTGTCAGCGGTGGAGGCCTCCAGGAGGTTTGAGGTTTTCGGACGTTCTCGTTGGTTCTCGGCGGTTTTCCAGCCTCGTGACGCCTTCCAGCGGCTCGACTCACCGAGGCTCCTCCTCTTCCTCCTCCTTCTCCTCCTCCTCCTCCTCATCATCATCATCATCAGTGTCATCATCAGTATCATCATCATCATCATCATCATCATCATCATCATCATCATCATCATCATCATCATCATCATCATCATCAATATCATCATCAGCAGCATCAGCATCATCATTATCATCGTCATCGTCATCATCATCATTATCATCATCATTATCATCATCATCATCATCATCATCAGCATCATCATCAGCATAATCACCGTCATCACCATCATAATCAGCATCATCAGCATCATCAGCATCATCATCAGCAGCAACATCATCACCATCACCATCATCATTATCATCATCACCATCGTCATCACTATCGTCATCACGATCATGATCATCGTCATTAGCATCATCATCACCATCCTTCCTCGCCCTGCTCCTCCTCGCCGGTTTGGCTCAAGCTCGCTGTGCTCGCTGGGAGAAACTCAAAGCCACTCTATCCCAGCTGGCGACTGCGAGAATCTGGCCTGAACTAACAACGTTTGCAGGAGGCTGGATCACGTCTACCCATGGGGCACCTTATCCAAGAAGGGCTGCAGGCTCGGATGTTCTCATGAATGTCTGAGGGCTCAAGATGCAGGACCTGGCTCTGTTGCTCATTATCTCTCTTCTCCTCGTCTCGCGCATCTCCTTGCTCTCCCACGCTCTATCATCCAACACGGTTCGGATGTGCGATCGGGGTTCGGCCCAGATTAAGCATACAGTGTAGCAATCTAATGTCATGAGGTTTTACTTGGCGGAGCGGGCTGGTTAACCGCAGTGTCTCTCCATACCAAGCTGCACAGTGAACCGCAAGTAGCGCAACATCTAGAAGGCCCCATACAGTTCATATTTTCGCGTGTGGCATACCGATCTCGCGCCTCTCACGGCCTCCAGGACCGCCCCGCCCGCGCCTGCTGCTCTCTCGGCGGTCGTTTAAGGAGTGAGGACGTTGGGAGGTTAGGTGCGCGCTGTTGGCTCAATCGTTTTTGGCTCAAGCTCAAGTTTGGCTCAAGCAAGCCCAGTTCAAGCAAACCCAGTCTGGACTGGGCGATGTCTCATCATAGAACGGCCCTACCGTGAGACGCCAATATTGTGCGACCGAGAGCGCCAAAAAACAAATGTTTGTGTTGACGAGGTAAGACGAGGAAACGAAGACGTATATTGCAGCGGAATGCAGTTAGAAGGGCGTTTGATTCCAGTGAGCGCGTAAAGTCGTTTGTTGGGTTATTGCAGAATACAAATGCTCATCGATGCATGTGGACTGGCACCTCGGTGCGCCCGCGCTTGCTTCTCCAGTCCCCTTGTCTGGATTTGCATCCAAAGTAAATTTACCCGGGCAGCGACTGTTGCCTATACAAAATTCCATGGGGCACATTGCATGTGCCACTCATTGGAATCATGGGCAACTTGTTTGTTCGAGCGAGCACGTGCTTGCGAATCACCAGTTTCGTTAGCGTTCGAACACACTAGCGAAACTTTGTGGAAGTAAGATCCAAGCGCAGAGACGAAGACAGCCGACAATTTTCCGCTGCCTCAGTGCGAGTACGTTGAGTAGCCGAGCGCATAGTGGGCAAGTATGCGTCTCATTGTGTTGCGCAAAACACGTGTCCGGTGCTGCGTTGTGATAAACCGGAACCTATTCTGGATCCGGTTGAGGTTGAAAACGTTTTGGGCACCGAGTCTAAGATCAGACAGCGCGCACGCAGTATGAAAAGCCGGGACAGCGTACAGCACGCTATTTTGCATTTTTCTTCGCGTTGGTCACGAGCGGAGCTTCGATAAAACAGAGATTTGCCACAGCACGGTCCGAATTGAAGCTCGATGCATGCAGCGGGTAATTTGGTATGCAGTCCAGTCTCAAGCTGACGCCGAGGCACTCGTGCATGCGCTAAATCGGGAGTCTGAGATAGAGGACTGCGAACACCGTCTCGTGGTAGGTTGTACTGTGCTGCCGTAAACATGGGGACAACAAACAAACAAAAGTTAGTGGACGATGGGGACATTCTCAACACCGCGCGCGATCTTGACCAGCTCGATTGGCGAGTCGTTCCAGGGTGTTTCAAAGACGCGCTTCAAGCCAGCCTGGCATTTCAAGGACTACCTCTTCTGAAGCGACGGCCTCCCAGGGCAAGCTGCTGGCCGGCCAGTCCCCTCCTGGGGGCGTCTCGCGCGTCGTTTGTTCGTTCGTTCGTCGTCGTCGCCCTCCTCCTCCGCTCTTGCTCCTTATGACCAACCCCTCCCCGTCGCATCCCGGGGCCACTCGGAAGGGCTGGGTAGGCGTTTCGCCTGAGTTCTCTTTGCCGTTCATGAGCCCCGAACTTAATGACTGGCCACAGGTTCACGGACGGAGGACGGCTCGCGTTCAAAATAGATTCTCGTTTTAGTGCCGCGCGCGTCCGTTTCAAGAATGCGCAACCTGTTAACGGATTGAATGCAGGTCATTTCCAAAATGTGGCTCTCGTTTCAACACAGAACGCACTCGCTTTAAAAGTCTGCCAAAGCTTCGCGGATTAGGGCGGCTCGGTTTCAAAATGCGGTTCTCGCTTTAGCGCCGCGCGCATTTGTTTTTTTATTTGCAAGATCCTCACGGATTGAAAGTTTCAAAAGGTGGCTCTCGTTTCAGCGCCGCACGCGCTCGTTTCAAACAGTTGGCGGTGTTAAAGGTGTTCCTACGTTTAACGTAGCGGGAATGGCGTTTGGGAGCGGCCCAGGATTGTCAGGGCGCACCAATTACGCCGATTCGCGGTGTTGGGGTCCCCAGAACGGCGTTCTGGCACGATTCAGGATCGCTAAATCGCAACAGTCAGGTTGATTCGTGGCGTCGAAATCCTGAAAATTGTGTTTTGGCATGTTTCACGATTTTCTCATTGTTGCCCCCAGCGCCGGATTTCCTTCGGTGGTTTGTGAACATATATCTTGGAGGGGGGTTGTATACAAACATCGTTGGTGAATCTTGGGTTTGCATTGGTCATCCTTCTCCTCCTCCTTCTCCTCCCTCCTCCTCCTCCTCCTCCGCCTCCCCCTCCTCTTCCTCCTCCTCTTTATCCCTTTTCCTCCCCCTCGTCCTCCTCCCCCTCCTCCTCCTCCTTCTCCTCCTCCTCCTCCTACTCTCTCTAGGGTACCCATACTCCTCCTCCTCCGTCTCCTCCTTTTCGTCGCCCTCCTCTGCTTCCTCTTTCTCCTCCTCGTCCTCCTCCTCCTCCTCCCTGTCTTCCTCCTCTTCCTCATGTTTCTTTAGTTGTCGGGTTTAGGGCAAAGGTTCGACGCCCGCGGGATAGGATGAGAGCGGTGTGCGAAAACATGCATAATGACAATGTGGCGGCGACGGCAGGGCAACAGCAACACCATGTCAGTGAAACGCATGCATCCCCCAGGCTGGGACTCTGTCTCCAGTTCTACCGCCCAGCGTAGACGCGAACAGAGCCATGTCTCGGCGCCCTTCCCACAGTATATCTGACATTACCAATATAAAGTGTGACGTCGCTCTGTATGGGGGGGTGAATGTTTAGCGGGCTGGCTTCTCGGGCTGAAAGTCCGAGAGGCCCTTCGCTCGTGTTCCCCTCCGCCCTCCAATCCCCGACCACATTTCTTGAGTCACGGCCTCACGCACACGCGGTGCGCGAAACCCAGCAACCATAAACGACGCTGGAACCAGGAGAAGCGGGACCAGCACGCAGCAGACCGAGAGCCAACCGCCAGTGTTGTTTTTTTTGGTATAGTGGGGCCTCGTATGCGACTGTGGATCATACAGTCCATGCCGTGCTTCAAGTCGTCGCGGTAGGGGCCCAGTGGTGCGTGACACTTCCGCAATGCAATGGATATGCAGCCGCCGTCATTGTGAATCATATGCATTTCATTGCGCATCGGTTTTTTGGCTTCATAAGCATATGTCCAGTCGTGAGTGGGTGCGCGGAGAAGGTCGATGTTCCCGAGCACCGTGGATCCTGGACATGATTAGGTCATGGTGCCAACTTCTTGTGCTTCCCACATCAACCTAAGTCTCAACGTTTGTGGCCCATTTCGCCTTACGCACAATGGAGGCCCCCACGGTCCGAGAAAGCAGCGAAAGGGGTACGTTTCGGCAGCAGAGGCTTGCCAATGTCCAGGTTTACCCCCATCCTCGTGTGCGAGGTGCCCAGCTGGATGCTTTCAAGTGGCCCCCCCTCTCCCGGTAGCCAGGGCATCCATTGGGCCAGAAATGTGAATGGTGAGTCGGTTGGTGGACTTGTCGGAGGGGCCTTCAAAGGCACACTGGTGCATGGAAGTATTGTGGGCTTGTCCAGGTGCCGCGAGCTAGGGGACGCCTGCGGTCGCCAGGTTTCGGACGGGCACTCCGTGGCGAAGGGAACTCCAAATCGCCAGCACTAGGCGGCGATTTCCATGGCGGTCCGGAGAAACATGTTGCCCGGGGACACTTGGGCGCGCTCGCGTTCGCCAGTGTGTTTGGGCCCCCAGATTCTGCTTCGAGATCTCAAGGGCCTCGGAGGCGCGGTTCTGGTTCCGTCGGGCCTCTGCCCAGGACCCTGGCGCCGCGCGACGGGCCGCGTCTCGCATGGCGGCCCTGCCACCGCCGCTGCGACGCAGCCGTTTCGAACGAGTCTGCTCCGAACAGCCGACGGCCAGGGCGCGTGAGATCTCCGAACTCAGGGCCGCTGGCGACGTCAATGCCCGAGACTCATGGGCCGAGCGGGATGGGCCTCGAGCGCATGCTCAACCTATCCTAAATGCATCCCGCCCTCCAAGACCCCAAAGAGATATGATGCGCGCCCAGCTGCCATCGCGCGGGTGGAGCTCTGAATCCCAGGCCGGGCGGCGCAGGGGGCCGGGGGGCAACCGCGGGTGGAAGGGGGGCAGGGGGGGGGGGGCAGGTCATGATGTCGCAGCGGGGGGGTCCAAACACTCGCGCCCGCGGCTGAGGGGCGCGGCGATGTCTGAAACCCGGCGCGCCAATTGGCTGATGTCTGCAGGCCCATGGGCCCCCCTTCTCGCGAATTTCCCCAGGACAGGTCTTTCGCCCGGAAGCCCGCTCGCCCCTGACATGCCTTTTGGCCCGCGGGGGGCGTTCGTGAAGCCGCCCAGGTCGATGGAATACTTGCTGCAGACTTTTCGCGCGGTGCCAGGCCGGCGCGAACATCCTGGGGGGCATGGGGCGTCGGGCGAAACTTGCCACGGCGGGCTTCGGAGCCCTTTGGGGCGCCAGAGGTCCGACCGCAGATGGGGCTCGAAAGAACCCGCCCAGGGGCGCGCCGGCAGCCAAGTCTTAAAACCTTCTCTCCTGGGCAGCCAGGTCATGGCGATCATGGGAAAGAGCCGGGGCCCTTTTGCAGCGCATCGCCCCTTCCGCAGGCCTCGCCCACGTCTGCCGGCAAACGTTCCCGGCGACGGCCTTCGCGACGGCCTCGGCGGCCCGGGGGGGCTCGCCAGTTGCGGGCCCAACCTCTACCTTCTGCGAAAGCTCGGCGGGGAGCGGGAACGATCCCGCTGCGGCAGCCTCCCCCGCCCCCCCCGGCTTCGCGGGCTGCCCCCGGGGGTGGAAGGGCGCCCGCGGCGTGCGGCTGAAGCGGCGAACGAGGCGCTGGCGGGCGCGGCCCTGGGCTGAGGGGCGCTGCAAAGAGGGGCCATCTCCTGCTTGGGACCGCTGCTGACGGGGTGCTCTCCCACTTCAGGAGTCCTCGGGGCGGGGGGCCGTGCACCTCTCGTTCGTAGACGCGCGGGGAATTCATCCGGCCCGCGCGTCGCAGCCTGACGGGTGGATGGGCCAGCCGACCTTGGGATCGCTTTGTATTGCTCCGGCCTACAGGGATGCCCATGCGCGGACCGTGGCGCTGGTTCGCCGTCGCAGTTCCTGGCCTGCTCCGAACTGCTGCAGAATCCAGATGAGGGTTCTGCGGGATGGGCGCCCCGCAATGGATCCAGCACGCAGTGGGGGTCTCTACTGCGTCGACGAGGTCCCTCCTGGAGGGCCGACCCGAGGCCGCGGCGCGGCCCGCGCGCGGGTGCTTATTCTTTGCTGCACATGTGATGGGTTTCTGGAAGGTCTTGGGATTGCTTCGAGCCGCGTCGATCCAGGAGTGGCATGGTCACATCGGCTGGCCGCTGCCCGTCATCAGAAATAATTGGTAAGCCGTTTAGATCATCTCCCAGCAGGGCAACCCACCCCGAATTCCACGCAGAAAGATGCTGCAAACTAGCTAGGGGCGGGACATGGTGGGTTTTTCTGATTTGCACCGGGCAACAGTCACAATCAGATCGTGCGATGACCGCCCAGCCAGCAATTTTATGTCCGCGTGGGAATGCTGCATGCCATTATTGCTCCCATGCGCAAGGTCCATGGCTGACCTGTATATCCGCTCGCGTCCTTGTCGCAGCTTAGCATTTTGCCCCTGTGTCGGATCTGCCCAGGTGCAGTCATTGCGAAACAAGATAGAGCTGGCGCGCGCCTCAGCGTAAACAGTTTTGGCACGTGTAGCAACCCCAGTGCGAGGCGAAGTGGCCTTCGTGATCGGTCCCAGGGTCCCGCCAGGACCCCGCGCCCCCGTTGCCGCCTCGGTGGTCATGCTTCCGCGGGCGTCAATGTGGGGCCCTAGGACTCGGCGAGCCGAAATTGTCTCAGCCTCGAAATCCCATGTAGGACTGCGCGCAACGCCGCGGCGCTGACCATCGCCACCAACTCTGGCAAACATGGGTCCAAGCCCGCGGAAGGCCAGCAAAAACTTGGTTGCGCCCCGTTGCTTCGAAGCCCACGTCGGCAACGCGCGTCGCGCACATCTAAAATAGTTTTTGCCAGACCTATGGGACCCGCTGCCGCGGCGGACAGAAACATCTGGGCGAGGTCGTCAACGAGGGGAACCCCGCGCTGCCCATTGCCGCCAGCAATCAAAAGTGGCAGAGGTGAGGTGGCCAGGTGGGAAGGGGGGAAGAGTGGCAAGCAGGTCGCTGAGGAGGTTCAACGCTTCTGCAGTCCAACCATGCACTCTTCGAAAGACAGCTTTGAAGGCGCCAGTGGCAAAGGCCGAGATCCAACCTTCGGCGCGGCGAAGGACGGCCCGTTCACAACGTGCCAGAAGGCCCCTCGCTGGCTTTCTTTCGACAGCGCAGCGACGCGAGCATTGTCAATGCGTTGCTCATGCAGGGGCCGGTGCTCAAGCAGCGCCTCGACCCCTTCCGAAATTGCATGGGGAAGGGGGGCGCGCCCCAGAGCCCGCTCGAGCTCGTCCCGGGCCCCGGGGGGCTCAGGGCAAGTTGCCCGGTTGCGGTGTGCAACGCACCGACACGGTCCAGACACAGCGCCCCGCGTGATAAATTATGTTGAGCAGTCAGCTGACAGGTGAGCCCAGCAGCTCGCACTGCAGCGCCATGCATTCCACCTTCCACCCCCCCATCTGAATGGCCAGGGTAGGAGGCGCGCATGGAATCCAGAGCATGCGCCGCTTGCGCTCGCGCTGGGCAGGGCCCCCCGACGCTTTCCAGAAGTGGGGGGGCCCGCCCCCCGTGGAAGACATGGGATCATGCTCCGCGCGGGGCTTTTTTGGCCATCGCAAGATTCGCGGGGCGGGCCAGGGCCCCGGGAGCAATCTTGCCGAACCCTCCCTGGGTCCGTCGGCGCCCGGGGACCTACCAGTTTTTAGGCGCCCCACGAGTGCGTCGGTATCGCCGAGACTGGGGATGGCCTCAGGATCTGTGATAACGTTGTCCTGGGCAAGTGGAAGGGCTTAATTGTGCCGATGCATTAGCTGACCTGATGTTGCCTGCCAACCTTGCTCAACTGAGGAGGAGTAATCCTGGGCGCGCGCGGCAATGGCAGCGCCCTCGACCAACGGGGCACCATCGCTATCGCAGTTCATAGGAATGGGAGGGCCCCCCTGCTTGTTCCGATCACTGCGCCCCCCATTCTTCGGAGAGCCTTGACAGCCCTCCACTCAGCGCGACCCTGCGTTTGATCCAGTGCGAACTGAATGTCGCCAGCTCGCTCCCCTAAGAAGGCGCATCTGGCATCGTCGCAGCTTTCTGGAAGGGCGCCTCGGTGATGCGCGAGAAGACTCAGCGAGTGACCGCGACGCACAAAGCACCCAACGTGGCGCGGTATCTCTCAGAGGCGGCGGTCCGGAGGCTTTGGAACCGATGCGTCCACTGGAGCTACTTCTTGTCCTTAGCAAGTTCCACCAGGCTTCCTGCCATTAGATTGGCAGCGAGTGCTGCGGGCAGACGGCTTGGCAAACACATCAGCTTCTCCACGATTCCGAACCAGGATATTTCTGATAGTTCGCCGAAATCGAATGAGAGCGCGGCTGGTTGGGTCGATGCAGGGCTGCCGCATTCGATTATGATCAATCTCGAAGGCCCGCTGAGCTGCTGCGCCGATGTCCTGAACAACTTCAGCAGCGTGAGCTTCGAGGTCGGTGCACCAGGGCCGGCGGAGAAGTAGTTGCCAAGAGAAAATTGAATCTGTCCTGGGCCTCGGGCCCCCGAAATTTTCTCCAGCCCAGGGGGGGGCGCGAGCAGACGAGCGTTTCTGGGACGCCGTCTCCTCGCGAAAGCCCAAAGCCAGGGGGAAGTGCTCAGGCCCTTCGAGGCTTGCTTCAAAAGCAAGAAGTACCCTGGCGTTCTGTAGCCCGACCAGCAATTCATAATTGGCACACATGAATCAAGTCGATGGCGATCGCCGCCGATCTCTTAGAAGGTAAAAGCATTGCCCTTAGCAACCTTGGCGTTGGTAAGTGCTGCGTGTCCGAGCACAAGTGATGAAACAATTCCCCAACCCTGTCCTGATCTTGGCAACATCTTTCCTGGGAGCTACAATCAGAGACCTGAGATCCACCCCTCCAGATTCGTCTCTTCTGGATGGCAACGCAGTTCCATACGAGGCTTGCAAGTTGGCCCAGAGTTCGACACCGAACCCCGGCTTTCCGCTTTGAGAGTGCAGCCTGACGATAAAACATAGAACCCATTGCACGGGCACTCCCTTTGGGATTTCTCGCCTCCTGGAGCCATACCGGATGAGCTCCCATATCTTGAAGGTGGCATCTAACCAGGTCGGGGCGAAGCTTTTTTTTCCTTCCCAGTGTCCCATCCTTCTCTTCCTCCTCCTCCTCCTCCCCCTCCCTATCATCATCATCATCATCATCATCATCATCATCAGCAGCAGCAGCATCATCATCATCATCATCATCCGCATCATCAGCATCATCATCATTGTCATCCTTCTCTTCCTCCGCCTCCTTTTCCTCTTCCTTCTCCTCCTCCTCATCATCATCATCATCCTCATCCTCATCCTCATCCTCATCCTCCTTTTCCGCCATGAGTTCGGCGAGGCTTATTTCGTATTCGCTTCGCTGCACGAGAGAACGCGTCCGTTTCTGTTGTGGGCGCGGCGTTCCTTTCCCACCTTGTTCAGGCTTCGGGGCTGGATAAGCTGGGGATATCCTCCGCTTCGTTATTTCACGACGCGAGGGGGACATATGTTACATCGTTTCCCGAACTTGTCCTAGGATGCGCTCTGGCCTGCAGGAGGCGCAGCAAGAGCTACAGACGTCCAGAAATACTAAACCCAGACATTCGAACTTCGATCCCACCAAACCCCCGCCAAGTCCCTCAGCGGCGACGCGGGCCAGAGCTTGCAGTTGCTCCACGTGGCCCAAGGGGTGGACTCCACGTTGGTCATCGCAGCGGTGGCCCAGCGGGGACCGCTCATCGCCATCGTCACCGTCGCTTCCGCCGCCGCAATCTTCGCCGTCTCGGGGAAGAGGGTGGCGATGTGGAGCAGGAGGATGGCAAGAGTAAACCCAAGATGCATCAACGATGCTGCAACACACCCTCCCGTCCGAAGGCCTTCCTTCATTCGTCCTTCTAGCTTTCCGCTCCAGTTCAAGGAACGCCCCCTCTGAAAGACCAGCACCCTATGGGCCTGCTGTTCAGGCGAGGGCGCCGCTTTGAAATGGAAGCAGCGGCCGTGCATCCTTTCAGCGAATAGAAAGACATGCGCATTGGTTTGGGCATACAATTCCAGCGATATCCTGTGTTGAACAAAGACCGCCCCGTTTGTGCTATGCACGTATATGTTTAATACCTGCTCATGTTTTCATTGTTGACCATGGGCGCGGAAGAACTATCAAGCGAAATATCAATATAGAGACAGAGCAAATTTCCGTCCGCTTAGCTACGCCATGTGTTCAAACCTCTGAATTGTAAACGTCTCAAGCCAACGCCGAATTTTGAAAAAGAAACGACCGTTCTTCATTCGTGCAGCTGTTATTCTTGTTCAGGCTTCTGGTCTCTAAGGTGAAAAAGGGTCAAGCGAACACCACACTTCGAAAAAAGGAACCGTCCTTGAAGCCCATGCAAACCTTTAGGACGAGCGCGCGCGGGGCTACTGCGATATCCCAATTCAAGAAAAGATTCGCCCTCCATCCTTGCGGCTGTTTGCAACATTGTAAGACGACTGTGCGCAGCGCTAGGGCGAGAACCCCATTTGGGAAACGGCCCGCCATACATCCCTGCAGATGTGCAGTGCACTTTCAAGACGAGTGCGCGCTGCACCAAGGCGGTAGCACTAGTTAGAAATATTTAAACAACGGCCCGCTCCCAGTCCTCAAAATTGTCGCACACGTTTAAGACGAATGCGCGCAGCCCCAGGACGAGAGCTCCATTTTGAAACCGGGCCGCTCTCCATCCACCCTGAAAGTGTTGCAAGCATTTTCAGCCAGTTGTGCCCGGCACCAAAGCGGCAGCATCGTTTAGAATACGTCATGCTCTAAGTTTTTTCATATTGGTGAAGATTTCTAGACGAATGCGCGCGGCGTTAAGGCGAGAGCACCGCTGTGAAAACGGGCCGCTCTTCCTCCAGGAAGCTACTGCAACTTGTTAAGGTGAATGCGCGCGGCGCTAAGGCGATAGCTATATTTTGAAATTGTCCCGCCCTCCATTCTGAAAAGTGATGCATATTTTACTTTGCAGGGTCATAAACGGTGAAGAAGTCTCAGGCAAAACGTCTGGCCCCTTCCTACCAACACGTCTGGGAATGCTTAAAGGATGAGTTGTTTCTGAAGAGATGGATGGAGGGGGAGGAAGAGGAGGAGGAGGATCATAATCAGCAGGATCAGCATGATGGCGATGACGATGATGGTGATGATGGTGATAGTGATGATGGTGATGATGCTCATGCTGATGATAATCATGGTGATGGTGATGATGATTGTGAACAGGACAATCACGATGGTGATAGTGAAAGATCGAGGGTACAGGATGATGGGGAGGAGGGGCTATGAGGAAGAAGAAGAAGCATGCGAGAGGCGCCTCAAAAGGAGAGGGATTCAGCAAGGGAACCTGGAGGGCGGTCAAAAAGGACGAGGAGGACAGTTATGTAGGATGAAGTACGAGGGCACAGGAGGGATACTGGGAAGGAGGATGAGGAGGAAAGATGTACACAGAGGACGGAGGATGAGAGGGATGGACGGACCTGAGAGCTTGAGGTAGGAAAATAGATTGAGGAGGGGGCGGAACGAGAGTATGTTTTTTTTGGCGAAATGAGGTGGAGGAGGAAGGAGGTGGCCTCGTCGTTCTTGTTGTTCTTCGTGATCAGGACCGCGAGGACGTCCCCTGATTAGTGCGTTCCTCGATCCACGTGATTATCATTGCCACAATGTTTGTGAAGGTCGGTTGCGATAGTCACTTTGATACGCAGTTTCCCCTCGGCTTCTGCGACGGATGTCCGAAAATTGGGGTCTAGGTGTTTGCGGTCCGAAGCGACCCCTTTTCCTTCCGCGCAAGAGGTGGGAGTTTAGAGCGTCAGGGCCTTACAGTCAACGCGCCTAGTAAGGACGCGCGCCTTCATCTAGGGTACCCTTGTTTCCTTGCCTCTGCGGCCCGTCTTTTGCCGTTTTCATTTGCCCCACTCTGGGTTAGGGTACCTTTGCGTCCCTTGGGTTTGGGTCACCCGCCGCCCAAACAGTCCTAACTTCGGCCTCCAAGGATCTTGCGTCCGTACCACCCGACCTTGATACACAGCTTGATTGTAAGTTGCGATCACGTCTCAAACGATGTGCAGACGTTGGAAACGGTCCGCCCTCCTCCCGTGCAGCTGTTGCACACATTGTAGTTTTCACAACTGGCACGCTGCGAGGAAGTCTCCGTGCGCCGCGCGCAGGGCACCCTGCATGCACGCCTGGCGGCGCGGCAAGGGGATACCTCGGGCGCGCACAGCACCAGTATGAATTGGGCATCGAAGTTGCATGGTGGATTGTGTTGGACAGATTCCCACAGGCTTTCTGCACAGTCTGCACTGTTCCGCACGTCAGGGTGCTACGAGGCGACTAGACCCGCCATCGTGCTCTAGGTGGTCTTCTGAATGAGACCGCCCTGCATGCACGCCTGGTGGCACGACGAGGAGATCTCATCAAGAAGAGGGGTGGATGGGGAAGAGGGGGGCGGGAGGAAATGGAGTTGGGGTGATGAGGAGAATGGGGGGCAAGGGACGAGGTTTATCGGAGAGGGGCAAGGCACGACGGGGCCCTCTGCAATGTCTCAGGGTCCCATGCCCAGTGGTGGGCGGGCGGCTTTGGCCCAGGAAGAGGACGAGGCTCCGCTCACCCGGGTTCCAGTTTCAGTTCCAAGCTCGGACGTTTCCAACTAAATTTTTGCCAGAGGTCAGGCGAGCTTCGTTTTGGCTGACCTCTTAATGCCCATGAATGAATGAATCATTGAAGGAGGATGACAGGTGGGAGGAGGAAGAATACGGAGGAGGAGGAGGAGCAGCAGCAGCAGCGGGAATAGCAGAAGGGGAGGAGTGGTGAAGGGCGGAGGAGGAGGCGGAAAAAGAGGAAGAGGAGGAATAGGACGAGGACGAGGAGGGCGAGCGTGTTGCGCCATAGGGGACGAATTGCCGAGAGACACGCGGCGCAGGCCAGGTTCGGTTGGGGTTTTCTCGAAGGCGCGAGTCACGCTCGCAACTGCTGGGCGATTGCCGAACCCATTTGGGCACCATAGCCAGGATTTGCCTCACAGCAGGAGCATCCTCACTTCAGGCGCACGAAGCCGAGGGGAATGACATTGAAAAGGCACGTGAGGCCCCAGAGGCCACAAACAAACAATATACGTTCGCAAGACATGCATGATACTCCAGGCCATTGACAAAACAGACGGTACACGTTTGCGAGGCACACGTGAGGCTCCAGAGGCCATCGCAAAACAGACGATAGACGTTCGCCCTCGACACAAGTTTGGCGCCAGAGAAACCGCCGACCTGCGACCCCAGCGGTGGGGTGAACCACGGCGGGACTGGAGGCGCCCCCCTCAGGCCTTGAAACAGATGCCCCACCTCCACCAGTTCTTGGAGGTGGTCACCCATGTGCTCAAACACCGCCCATCTGGCGGCGACGACCACCCTGGCAGCCTCCAACCTACGGGGAGTGCCCCGGCTGTCCCTGGAGCGCGCAGGCCAGGAGGAGGAGGAGGAGGAGGAGGAGACGGGCCCCAGCGCCTCCACGGGCGAGGTGGTCGCGGCGCAGATGCTCAGGGACGCCTGAGGCTGCCGACCAGGGCAGCGGCCCCGTCTGAGCCCCTGCCCCACTGGTTGAGGGCAGGCAGGGAGGGAGGGAGGGAGGGAAGGAGAGAAGGAAGGAGGGAGGGATAAAAGGAGGGAGGGAGGGAGGGGAGTAAGAAGGAGGAGGAGGAGGAGGACGGCGAGGAGGAGGACGGCGAGGAGGAGGAGAAAGAAAAGGAAACCGGAATCGGAACAGAAGCGAAGCTTCACAACAGATGATGGCACTACAGATCCTTGGGTCTCAGACCCCTGACCAGTCGATCCAAAGTTCTCGTCGCTTCATGGTGAGCTGGGCGGGGAGGCACTCGGCAGCCAACCGCTTCAGTTGATCCTGCGCAAAGCGACCACCATCACGACAGAGCCGAATTTGCACACCAGACTGGAAGACCAAGATGTGATAATAATTCATCCATGTTAGGGGAACGGAGAAAGACGAAAACATAAAATCTCGGAGGTCCGCGCGGATGTCTCGGATTGGCGCTGGACCCCCCTCCTTGGCGCGCTCTGCGCGCCATGGGCGGCACCCCAGAGGCGCCGCCAGGGGACCCGGCCCGGATCCGAGAAATCCGCGACGACCACAGAGTTGTTATGTTTATGCCATTCTTCGTTCCCCATACATATTCCTCCTATATGGAGGAGGAGGAGGAGGCTGACGCGAAGGCTCGCCCTTGCTCGCTCGATGACCCCTCATCAGCAGATGCTCGCGATCCAGAGAGTGATTTCTGTTTTTTTTTTTTTCATAAATTATCACCGACCTCAAGGATGGCCGATCGGTGATTGTGCAAGGGCTGCGCGATCGCAGCTATTACAGCAGCTGAATGAGGTAGATGTGTAACCCTGAACTTGATTCCGAGCTACGTGCGAGAAGGAGGCTGATGAGGTTGAGATGGGTGCGTCGCCTTCCTTCGTGCGGTCCTGACTTCCAGAGTCGATCTCGTTGGCATCTCCCTCACCAGGCTTGCCTTGCTTTCATGTTCGAAAGCTCTTGCACGCTCCGCCTGCGGCATACGTGCTCTGCTGCTACACATGCCGCCTCATCCGCCACCGGGCTGCCCAGGATTCGAGCCGTGGGTATCGGCCTGCGCAAATACTCTTGATGGTTGGAGATGAGATGAAATTTGGAGAACGAGAGAATGATGAGGAAGACGCCGCTGCTTATCCATGATCCTCCCGGTTGTCCTCCATCCCGTGGCCATCTCCCCCGACGGATACTTGCACCGTTGGGACCACCAGCCATCGACGACGCTCTAATTCTCCGAGACGAAAGCAATACCCCGCAATTGCATTCAATAGAAAAATCAGAGATTTCAGCTCCGCGCGAGATATGGTCTGCTTCCTGCCCGCTAGGGGCCCGAGGATACCAGGACCAATGACTGGAGGAGGAAAGCTCAGCATGGAAACCGTGGCGAGACCGATGCGCCTGAAAAGGACGTTCGTGGAGTCGGGCCCCCCAAACGCGTACCAGAAGAGAAGAACATGGGCATTCCAAGTCCGTTCCCCCAGGGCCAGACAATCCTCTTCAAGCACATCGTTGCACACGCAGAAAACCTGCCACGATTCTTCCTGAGCGGGAGGGCTAACCTTATTCCAGGCCGCAGGGGTGATCCCCCGAAACTCAAAGCAGGCCTCCGCTTCCCCTTGCGTCATGGCCTGAGCTGCGAGATGGGCTGAGGCCTCGTAGATGCAGTGCCCAGTGCTGAAACGACAGAACCAATGCCTGTGAAGGGGGACCCCCGCGCTTCACGACACCTTGGACAGAGTTCTCTGTCCACAAGGCGAAGGTCCTTACGGCGTGACTGTGGCCAGGATCCTCCTTACGGAAACGCAGCGGAGAACGGCGGACAGCTCACGACCGTGCGGAATTTCTTGTAATTGTTTAGGGAGGGTCCTGGGAGAAGTGTTGTCAACCCCGTTGTCCATTCCTTCCCCGCAGAAGTGTTCAGAAGCACCCTTCCAATACCGAGCAGCACTGTCATTTGAAAACTCGTCGGGAAGATTTTCGGCCTGGCCAATGCCGAACAAATTATAAGAAAAACAATCGCTGCATGTGCCATCCCTCGCGTGAGTGACCTCCCACGCGTCAGGAGCCTCGGGGTTCCGCCCCGCCTGCAGCAAGTGTGCGACGGTGGCCAAGAGAGGGCTGCGAACGTTGCGTGAGTGAGCGGCAAAAACCACGAGTTGAAACTTACTGATAACCTTTCCCCAAACACGCTGGATACTGAGTCTGATATTAGGTTCATCGGTCCAAATTCGGATTCGGTCCCGAAGACAGGCCGTGGGGAGTCGAATCCCAGGGTCGTAGCCGGGGATTTGAGGTCCAACACAGTGGTTAAGCACGTGGCCGCCCCCGAGACCGCCCCCAGACGCCTCCGAAGCAAAGGAAATTGTTGTCCAGAATCTCCTTTAACACAAGAAAGTTGCATGTAGACCCAGGTGGAGGATCTCCAGGCTCCACCTGCTCAGACCTCACACCTCTGAGAGGCCCTCGCGAAGACCCGCAGCTTACCATGTTGACGAGCACACTTGATGATACGTCGACGCCGAACAGAACGTGCGAGTCTTTTGCCTAGCCCTTGATCCACGCCCAAATGTCCAGGCTGTACCGGAAGGATCTGAATGATCTGCCTCTGAAGCCGGCTCGATATTTCCTCAAGACACATGGCAACGCTCTTGCTGGCGATGACGATATCCTGCTCATTAAACGTGCTGGCGATGTCGCCAATGGAAGAGCTGATTTCTTGCTGCGCTGCCTTCGCTGAGCCAACCATTGAGATGTCCAAGTTGTCTATCCACGACATCGCAGTCATTGGTGTCACACACACACAAACACACCTACACGCGCCGAGCGAATCTTGTACCGTTGCGAAGCCCCTGGGCCACGCTCCTGGTCGGCTGGGAAGCAAGCGAACGAGCCCCGAGTCGGGGGACGACCCGAGGCACCATGCACAGCTGGAGCTTAATACAGAGTAGGACGGAGGAAAGCCGAGACGAAGCGCGGAAGCATCAAACTTAGGCCACGTAATATGTTCGTAGAAGTTTTTAATATCGGCGATGGACTGCCCGACGACCCTGGCCCCCCAATATCACACCGACTTCTCGGTTCAGAGCCCGACAGTAAGCCTCGCGAAGTGCTCTGTTGCCTGTAACTGCTGCGTCCTATTCAGAACTGACCGAGGAAGACCACTCACGAGCACATGGTTCCCTGGCTCGACAACACATAGCAAGTAAACCAATAACACGATCACCGCCGGGTTGTTTGGCAAGCAGCCTCCCGAGCACCACAAGAGTCTGCCAGGGCCCGCGCCACGCAGTCCTCGACGGCGGTAAAATGCGCCCATGAGCTCGGAGAACGCGCTATCCAGCAGTCTCTCGAAGTCGAGCGGAGACAGCCGATCGATACCCACTCCTGCTTTCCCTTTCATGTGCTTGAGCCGGCCACGCGCAGAGGGGGGTTGGTGGGAGGGGGGAGGGCTTCTTAGAAGGAGACCGCTTCTTAGATGGCCGCCACTTGAGCGACGTGAAACAACGGGGTCGTCTGCGCCGACATTGGCGCGCAAGCTGCCCGCGTAAGGTCGCACGCCGGCGCCCTCGTCTCCAACGTAGCGTGCCGCGCCAGCGGCCCGCGTGAGCTACCGCGTAAGCCACCGCGTGAGTTCGCTATGCCATCTCGTGTGAGACCTGTTTTTAGATCGTCGCTCGATTGAGCGTCGCCCTGATTTCAGATACTTGCACAAAGGAGGAAACTCTTCGAACTCCGTTGCTGCCCCAGGCGCGCCGAAGAGCGACGCCGCGACGCCAGAGGCGAGGGCCTGAGACGACCACAGCTGCTGCTAGTGCTCCAGTTTGGCGTCTACGATGCCCCTCGGGTGAAGATCGGCGGGCAAACGAAGAGTCATGAGCTCCAGCCGTCTCCAGCATAAATAAGCGCACGTTGAATGCGAGCTGCCCCGAGCTGGCAACCTGCAGGTGGATGTCCCCCTGCGTGTCCGAAGCGTGCCACCAGGCACCCTGAGCCTCGATTCGAGGCTCATGAAGGCCCGCAGGAGCACATGTTTTCTTGCTCGGTTCGGAAACAACGAACACACGCTCGAGAACCACGCGATCCTCAGACAGTTGCAAACACTATGTACCAACCTCTACTCGGCGGAGAGCCTGGGGGGAAGTGAGAAGGGGCGGGCCTTGTCAGAAGGCTCGGAAGTCCCCCAGCCTTCTGAGAAATGTTTCAAGGTTTCCCCGAAGACGCTGGAACTTCTGAGAAGCACCGCCGCTTTCTGAGAAGGCCTTCTCCCTCTCACTTTCCCCTCGCTCGCCGCCGACTAACACCTCGGTGAACGTATTCGTCTGCTGCCTGGTTAAGTTTCCGCAACGATGTGTAGATTGGCCCCGGGGAGCTTTCCTCAGGCGTCCAGTCTTGAAGCCGTCTGGGAGAACCGTGAATAGCCCGACCCCGCGAACGTTTATCAGCCTTTTCAGCGTAATCCTGGAGTCGCCCAAGGGTACCACGTCTCAAGCAAACCAGAGACTCCAGATGATAAGCCAAGGAGCCCAATCGGGTGCCCCACCAGCGGCAGGAATGACACCATGAGCCTCACCAGGAATGCTGTTGATGAGAGTCTTGTCTACCTCACCTACCTCACACAACTGCTGCACCTGAAGGCTACCGTTGCCTCGAACCCTATGCGGATGCAGCCGCAATGACACGACGTGCGTTCTCGCCCACCGGCCGGCTATAGAGTCAACAAGAGGTTGATATTTGGATGTCCACCACGCCGAATTTCCTGCACAACAAGCATATGACCTTCCCCGCATGACTCGCCTGCACTATTTATCTCCATGATGGGCGAGGACGGCGTGCTCGGCTGCTTTGATCCACGCCGCGGACATGCCACGTACTGGCAACACGTGCTCACCTTCCATCCGAAACTCCATGGACTTCACGACCGCGGGCCAGACATCCCCCGACGCGTGCTCGATGTACCCCAACTTGCTCCTGACAATCGGCCCAAGCATGTTCAGGAGTGGCGAACGGAGCGAGGGGCGGGAGGGCCTG